AAAAAAAATGATAATGTGGGGGCACCTGGCTGTCTCAGGGGAGTTCTCGACTCTTGATCTCGGGGTTGTGAGTTTGAGCCCCACATTGGGTATAGAGATTACTTATTTTAAGATTTTATTTATTCGTGAGAGACCGGGGAGGGGGGGAAGGCAGAGGCAGAGGGAGAAGCAAGCTCCCCATTGAGCAGGGAGCCCAACGCGAGGCTCGATCCCAGGACCCTGGGATCACTACCTGAGCCCAAGGCAGACAGTTAGCCGATTGAGCCACCCAGGTGCCCTGGGCATAGAGATTACTTAAAAAAATAAAATAAAAAATAAGAATAGGGATAACTTGCCAGCACGTGGACAGAGTGGAAGCCAGAATGGAGTGCAAGGCTGGGAGCTTTCCAAAAAGGAAAGTGCTTACTGTCCCACCTGACGGCGTGGGCCCGTGGACATCCCTTATGGGACAATAGCCTCTCAGTGACCAAGGGCAGGGCTGACCTGGAGAATGTGGACTCAGACTCAACATAGGCTTATTTGTCACTCCTCAACGGTCCACAGGGACTTGCTTTGCTGCCTGCACAACACCCAGAAACAGCCCTACCCCAGGCGGGCTCACCCGGATACACACACACCAGTGCGCATCTCCTTTGTAGTGAGCTCTGGGGCCCCTGATGTTGCCAGAATATGTCAACACCCAGAGCTGCAAGATGGCTTCCCTTTTGCGTCTGTGAAAGTCACTGTTGGTTATTCTTCAAACTCTAGTGTGTACTAAGGACCCGGGCATCCCATTACAACGCAGAGGTCACACTTCTAACAAGCTTCTAGTTGGTGCCGTGCGATGGTCTGATGATCACATACTGAGGAAATCTGGGTTGCCCGGCCGCCTTCCCCAAAATGTCCCTTGACCTGCAGAGTTTGGATACATGGGGAAACAATGGTGTCCCACTTGCTTAGTTCTGCCTCTACGGGAAACTCCATTGCCTTGTATATACCAATTGAACAAATAGAAAAACATCGTGCTTAAAACAAAGCAAGAAGTGACTGCAAAATTAAGAATTCCTGCTCTTTGAAAAAAAACGCATTTTACCAGAATGAAAAGGCAAGCCACCGAATGGGAGAAAATATTTTCAAATCACATATCTGATAAAGGACGTATATCCAGAATATATAAAGAACTCTCAAAACGCGGTAGTGAGAAAATAAACCACCCAGTTTTTTCAAAAGCTGAGAAGTTTTGAAGAAGATACGCAAATGGCCAATAAACATTTGAAAATATACTCAGAATCATTAGTTATTAGAGAATCAGAAATTAAAACCACAAGGAGCGGGGGACGCCTGGGTGGCTCAGTTGGTTAAGCGATTGCCTTCGGCTCAGGTCATGATCCTGGAGTCCCTGGATCGACTCCCGCATCGGGCTCCCTGCTCTGCAGGGAGTCTGCTTCTCCCTCTGACCCTCCCCTCTCTCATGTGCGCGCTCTCTCTCACTCATTCTCTCTCTCTCAAATAAA